TAAACAATGCACTGTGGGCAGAACAACCCACCTGACAGATGGTCGGCCTTTCCATAGAGAGTTCTTCCCCTGCTTCCTCCTCCAGCCAGTGCAGGCATGTATCTCAGGTCCCTTTGACATGCAGCCCAGATCCCATGATCCCTTGCTCCCTCACTACCTCAGCAGCCCTTTTGCTATTGGTTCATGGTGTGTATGGGCTACATTTTCCTCTGCCAGCTCCTGCTGGAAAGTTTTTGCATCTCTCACCTCCCCTGCAGCGACCTGCCTATATTTCTAATTAAAACCTGTAAACCCTTCCATGCCCATTTCGCGTGTTTTTATTAGCTCTGCTGTCTTCACCTGCCCAGGCTGCATGTTTCTGTCATCCAGTCCCGCTCCTCCCCACTTCCCTTCCCAAAGGGGCCTCACTCCATATCCCGGCCTCCAGTCTCCAACTCTCTGGCTAGCAGCTTGCATTGCAGCTGTCTCACCTGCCAGACCTCTCCGTGAAGCGGCCTTCACTCTCCTTTCCTCCTGCTTTTGCTGCTTCAGGTGAGGACATCTTACTGAGCTGAGCCCTCCACTCCCATCCCACTGTCCGGTTTCTCATGCAGCTTTGCTACTGACATTGCCCTCCTCCTCCCAGCATTCCCTGCTACCCCACCCCCAACCATACCAGCTATTTTTCTGCCAAGAAGACTTCAGTGTCCTGCAACTCCAGATGAGATCTGTATTGAGAAGCTGGTTTTTGGCAGCGGCTGCTGTCACCATAAGAACAGCTGAAAACCTACTTTTCTTTAGAAGGTCCTACAGAGCTTCACTTCTGTCACAAGCTGATTGGGAGGGTTGCTGGCCCTAAATGGAAAATGCAGGGAACTGGTCTACTGGCCTGTGAGCTGAGGTGCAGTTAGGGAAAACAAGATTCTGAGAGACTTCAAGGAGGTACTTGTGCAGCGAGTATTGTGTTTCAGCCGATGCTTATGGAGAAGGTGAGGAGAGTACATTGTTCTGGCTAATATAACATAGGCAAGGCAGGCATTTTGGCAGTTGTTAGTCCCTCTTAGTGATGGTACACAGGTGGGTCCACATCTACTCAAAGATAGCTTAATGGGTGTTTCTAGCTTCTTTCTGAGTTGCTGATCCAAATGCTGGTGGCTCATTTGCCAACCCATTGATGGGGGCAGGATCATTTTCAGCCCCTGAGCGAGGTGGCTTGGAGTTGCCCTGAGGCAGCACATCTTTCTTAGACAATACAGATGTTCTGCAGGGCTCCACAAGCAGGAAGCCTACCCAGTGCAGGGTCTTCCTCCAAAGACCTTTGGTGGCCAAAGGTGTGTTATAGGGAGCCTGACTCAGCCATTTCCTTTGTCATAATTGAAACATTTCTGTTTGTCCAACCTCAGATCTCCATGTGTTGCCAAAAACCAAGGCTAAAGTGCAAATGCCTGGTCATCTGGAGTTAGAAAGTAGATTGAGAATATTTATCATAGCAAAGGGGCTTGGGGATGAGTTTGCACATGACTAGCTAGTCTCAAAGGCAAGTTCCAGGAGATGTGTGGATTCTCTGCATAAATGTCCATCCCCTAATGACTCTGTGGCTCCTGAGCACAGCAGACAAGGGGGCAGAGCAAGCTGTATAAGAACCCTTTTCCAGGCTGGGACTGCAGAGGAAGCAAGTGGCTGCTTCCACAGTGGAAAAGCTCACCACAGGCAAATGTGTCATCTCTCAGTGGTCACTCCTGCACACTGAAGCCTTCAGGATATCAGTTCTGGGAGTGGATGTTTGGGGTGATGCAAGATACTATGGAGCTTTCCACATGTCCTAGGCTATCCATCATCCACATATGGCAATGCAGAAATCTATATCAGTAAAAACAAAAAGTTGGTTTTTACCTTGCATAAACTCCTCCCTACCAGCATTACCTTTGGACTAGGGAACTCTACTTCACGTAAAATCTTCAGAGAGACTGTGCATGTGAACAGGCCCCACCTCACTGATGTCAAAAAAGTAGGGAAAGTGAGAAAGACCATGTAAGGTTGCCCTCAGTTGGAGTTCTCATGGGTGTCAGGAGGCCAGGGTTCCTTGTGTATGTCCATTTATGTACCTTCCAGGTGGGGTGAGTTCTGCAGCTGCACATGTTTAACAGCAAAGTCCTCCAGGTGCTTTTGAAGTTCAAAGGGAGCTCCATGGATGTTTATGTGGAGAAGCCATGCATCTCTTGGAACCTGCCTTGGGCAGACCAGCCAGCCATGGGCAGATTCGCCCAGCCCCTGCCCAGCCCCCTACAGTTTTAAGGAGCTGCAGAGTCTTTAGGAGTTTGGTGCAGGCGTCATGCGCCAGCACTTCAGAACCTCCCGCAGTAATCAGTGATTTTAGGGAAGTGTCAATCACAGCAGAGATAAGTGTCTGTTCTGCCGCAAGTGTCTCCAAGATTTAGGGCAGTTGTGAAAGCAGCTACATCTTGTGTTGATTCAGGTGCTGAGAAAGGGACTGAACAAGAAGAGTGGGTAGGGGTGTAGGGATGGGGCAGAGGCATCAGAAATCAGCACTTTGTATTTGGTTGTGGTGAGGAATCTAGGTTCTATTTTATTATTTTATTTTATTTTTACTTCTATTTATATGCCACCTACTACCAAAGTCTCAAGGTGGCTTACAATAAAAATTAATATTGAAAGTCTGATGTCGTGGAAAGTTGGAGGTTCTGTTGGGGTCTGAAAATCACACTCTCCACCCTTCTTTGTCTGTGGGTTGCAGCAATAAGACTTGGTCCATGATCCAAGCTTAGCATCCTTTCTGCTGCACGTACCTGCAGAGCAGCAGATACTGCTGCTCAAAAAGCTGATCTGCTGTTGTGTTAAGAATTCGGATCACCTGGAAGGAGAAGCATAGGATGAAGAGGATGATAGAGGATGAAGAAATGGCAATAAATGCTTTTGAGTGATTGTGATTCAAGCCCCCACCCCTCAGTGCACACATGCACACAGAATAAAGCACAACAGTTGCAAATGCCACAGCAGTATAGGCACACTTTTATGGCCAGGGCACTGTGTGGGTCAGTGCAAGGAAGTGGTCCCAAGTGTAATGCAAATGGCCTCACTTCCCTGGTGGTGGAAGCATCTGTGGACCCAGAAATGGAAATAAGCCATCCCAAATCCCCCCTTTGGTTCCTTGAGCATCAGCAGAAGCACCTGGTGTTGCATTCTGCAGTCTGCAACTGTCCTTGAAAGCACATGCAGCAAAGCAAATCTCGGTTTGTTTTATTAAGATAAAAATGGAACAAAAGTGTTCCATGCTAGTTGAATGACGACGGGGGAGCCGAATGAGCATAGTGGGAGTAAGGGAGTTACGAAGCGCCAGCACCTTTTCTCTCCTGATCTCCCTCTTCCATCTGAGCCTCTGTTGAAGGACATGGCTAGTGATTACTGCTCAGCAGATGTCACTGAGGTGCCCTCTCTGCCTCCACCAATGTTGCCGAGGGTTCTCCCAGCCCTGTGCGCCCATGCAGAGTGATCAGTGGGTCTACTGTGGGGCCTCCTGGAAAGACAAGGCAGGCAAGTGCATATTCCTGTGGAGGATGAAGAGGAGGAGGGCCAGGCAGAGGGAGAAATTGCTGCAGTGGCAGCTAAGGATATGGCTTGTAAGGTGTTTGATTTCGGTGACTTTGCACCACAGATTGCAGGTCTGCCATCAAACTTGCAAGCTCATCAGAGTCCCTGTCAGTAGCTGCTGTTTGCTCCCCCATTGCACAGTCTTCAGGTGAGGTTTGAGGCTGCCATGCCTTGGCACACGGACTCACCCAACACAAGGATGCCGGCAGCTAGCCAAGTGGAGCAGATAGTCAGTAGGCATTTACTGGTGGTTCTTCTGTGTTCTCTAGTATATTGTCTGCTGTATGTTGCTTGGCATATTATCTGTAATATAAGTCAATATTTGTACTTCATGCTGGGAAAATAGTATAATTGAAAATAAAATAATAAAATAAATGCAGTCTCCTATTTGTGCAAAATGATTCTTCCCTTACCAGTTTAGCTGAAGCTGTAAGACAGGTTAACTTGCATCTTCCTGAAAGTTTTGCCAAGGTGAGCAGTAATACAGTGTCTCTGTCACACCAGGAAGCGCACTGAAAAGGTCATCCTAGTTAGGATGGCAGTACTGGAGGCAGTGATGCCTCCAGATGCCAGTTGCCAAGAAGTGAGGCTGGGAGGGCATTTCTGCACTCAGGTCCTACTTGTGGGGCATCCCAAGGGTGTCTGGATGGCTACTGTGGGAATCCTGGACGAGAGAAACCTTTGGGCTGACCCTGCATGGCCGTTCTCATAATCCTAGCTTGCTCTGTCCTTTTGGGTCCCTTTGGGGACTAAACATGCCCATGGGGACATCAAATATCTCTTGCATCTTGGGTGCGGGTTTTTAAAAGACTCTTAATTACGTTGTTGTGTGGCATCAACAGCAGCAACTTGTGACATTGTCTCTGACTTATGGCAGCCCTATGAACTGAATGCTCTCCAAAACATCCTATCCTTGCTTAGCTCTTGTAAGTTCAAGGCTGTGGCTTCCTTTAATTAAACTGGCTACTTGTTTATTTTAATAATTCAGTGTTATCAGTTCAGTTTATTAGTCACGCTAAATGACTGTTAGGGCAACAGCATGCATACCAATAAAAAGGCAAGCAGAATCTGATCCACATAGACTCAGAAGAATCAAAAGACACCTGATCAGAAAAATCAATGAAAAACTAGCAGAGACAGAATCTTAGCAGGCAACAAAAAGCTATAAAGATTTTTAAAAATTAACAGAGGTTAAACTGCTTTAAAATACAGCCAGACAAGAAAAATAGGCAAGAGGTGATTGGAAACATCCCAGCCGGAGGCCCCGGGGAGCCATTATCATTCCGATTAGACAGGACTAGGCTAGATGGACCAGTCACGGCACTCGGTGTGAGGCAGCTACGTAACTTTTAATGCCATGGCAGATACTTCAGGTGAGCTGGAACTGACTTGCTGATTTCTGCATTTTACAGTCTGCTACCTTCATTCGAAACAGAATGGCTGCGAAGGAGAAGTTGGAAGCGATGCTGAACGTGGCCTTGCGGGTCCCGAGCATCATGCTTTTGGATGTCTTGTACAGATGGGATGTCAGTTCCTTCTTTCAGCAGATCCAGAGAAGCAGCCTGAACAACAATCCTCTCTTCCAGTACAAGTACTTGGCTCTTAATATGCATTATGTGGGTGAGTACATACTGACTGAGCGGTGTGTTTTCTTGTGTCGCTACATGCTCTCTGAAGTGAAATCCCATGCCTGTTAGATCTAAAACACCTAGTGATGGTGACTGTCTTAATAAAGGCTGATAGTCTAAGCAACAGTTTCATCAGCTGGGTTTTCTTTTTATTATGGAAGTATTGCAAATAATCAGGACAACTCACTAGATTTTTTTGCCCGCAAAACCAGGGAGGGAATGGCAGTTATGCACTTCCATGTGTGTGTGTGTTTATTTATGGATTTTCTAGCCCGTCCATCTACTTGCATCTCAGGACAGGTTACAACAAAGCAGCAGATACATTAGGGCACAGCATTCAGTAATTCAGTAATATAAAAACCACATTAAAACCGATTAAACATTAAAATAACAGGAAAATAAAAAGGATTTCAACTGGTGCTGAAAAGAAAAAAAGCATTGGTGCCAGGCGAACCTCTCTGGGGAGCGTATTCCATAATCAGGGCGCCACCACAGAGAAGGCCCTCCTCTGGGTAGCCATGCTCCTAATCTCTTTCAGGGGGGGCTCCCGAAGAAGGACCTGAGGATCCGCCTCAGATCTCAAGGGGCGGGAGGGCACACATGTGCGCACGCAGACACACATGTACTCCTCTCCCTCACCCAGGCTGGTCATTGTAAAGAGAAGTAGCTGCTGTTAAGCCCATGTGAATTAGTGGCTGAAGTGTTCGGCTGGAGCTTGGGAAGCTCTGGTGTTACTCCCCTCTTGGCCACAGGGCTTACTGGGTGACTGGGATGGTCATTGGCCCTCAGTATAAGCTCCCTCACAGGGCTGTAGTGAAGGTAACATGGAGAGGAGGAGACATGTAGGCCACCCTGAGCATCTTGGAAGAAAGATGGGATATAAGTGCAACAAATATGAGTAGAAAATTGACCCTGGGAAGATGCAAGGATCTCAGCCCATGTGGGCATCCTCTGAAACCTGTGTGTTCAGGACAATGGGGTAGTGGTGGTATTAAACTGCTTAAATACTGCATCCATCTTCGTTTCCCAGTCGTGCTGGCAGGACCCCCCCCCCTTCTCTCTGGCACTCCCTACCTTTCTCTGCCAAGGGAGTGAGAGACAGAAAGAAAAGGTGGTACTGTGCTGCGTTTGCCTGCTGAGACTTTCTGTGATCAGATATGACAGTAAACAATACAAATGAATTTTAGCTTATGCATTCTTGTCAACGTGCTGCCAACCCCTCCATGCTGTGGATTTGCAAGGGGGAGACTGGAAGAATCTATTTCCATTTCCAGCTAACCACATTTTGTTATGTCTGAATCAAAGAAGTTGTCATTAGTTTTAATGACAGTTTATCTGAACAAGCCAACTTTAAACCATGAGTTATGATCTTGGCTTGTTCAGATAAGCCATTTTTTAAAAAAAGAGCAGGTCTTGATTCAGATATAAAAACAAACTGTGTTTACCAAATGTTTCCTGCTCACAGCCATACCAGCAAAGAAGGCATGACTTTTCCAGGCTGATTCCCATAGTGCTACACTGTGAAGTAGCATCATATCCAAGCCAGATATCGTTTCCAGCAAGATGGGCATATTCTTTCAAATGAAGCCCCCTTTTCAACATGGGGGACTGCTTCTCTTTTTACCTCCATGCTCCTGAAAGGAAAGTGAGAGGTGCAAGGATTAACTGCATATGTGTAGCAGGAAGGGACAGCCCTAAAAATGACAAAGTACAAGATCTGTAACACATTTTATCCGTTCAACTTGGGTCCACAAAGTAATTGGTTTAAATCAGGACTGTCAGACAGAAGGTCTCCTGGCTTCCCAGCGGGGTTTGCACAACATCCACTGCAGTCCCCAGAAGTTAAATTCCAAGGCTAGGAAGTGGTGGGGGCTGACCCCCCCCCCCCAGTGGTTGCTCTTGCATGCTTCATTCTTGACATCTGAGGCTAACTTCCATGTAAATCAGCAACATCGCCAAGGAGCGTTTTGTGTGGAATTCGCAGCTAGCAGAGTGTGTGGCATGGATTGTGGTTTTTCAGTTGCCTGGGGAAAGTGCAAGCGCAAGCGGTGGAGATGTTTAGCTTGGGAGGAAGCAGGAGGAGGGAGCTTCTTTGTCATGCAAGAGGATTTCTGAGGGCATGCAGCCTCACATGGGAATGTCTCAGATGAGATGAGAACTGCAGGAGATGCCCCGACTTGTGTGGGTGTGGAGTAGTGATTCAGAGACAACAGTAGTGCTGATCAAAGTGGTTTTGTCAACAAGATCTGACAGGGTGGAACACCAGCTTGGATGACAAGGAGTATTCTTCAGCACTGCTGCTATGATGTTTTCCATTCTCCATGAAATTGTACCTTTTGGTGTGACGTTATGGAGGTTGCCGCAGTGTGAGAAGTTTGGCTATCCAACCCATAGGCTTCACAATTCAAAATACACAGGTGACGTATTTAACTGGCCAAGACTCCCTATGTTAAGCATAAAATGGACTGTGCTTCTGCATTCGACGCAGGGACTGGGCAATGTTCTCTCAAAATATTAAAGTTCAGAGTCATTCAGTAATATTGGCAGGCAGCAGGTTCAGAACAAAAGGAAGTGTTGCTTTACAGAATGTGGAATTCACTGCAGCAAGGTGTAGGCATGGTTTCTAGCTTATGTGGTTTCATAAAAGAGAATAAATTCAAAAATACAATGCCTAGCTATATAGAGGCAGCATTGCTGGATTCTGGAAACAAGCAACAGGGCAGGATTGTGTTCACCTTGTTCATTTTATGAGCATTTGGTTGGCCACTAGTGAAGACACAGTACAAGACCAGTTGGATCCTTGGTCCAGTTCTGTCACATGTATTTTGCCATGCAAATTCTGACATGTTTTGTGCCTTTGCATGGGAAAAATACACTGCTCTCACTGTGCACTTTTCTTACTGACTCTTTAGTCCCTGCAAAAATAACAGCAAAAATGCTTTATTGTATTGTGATTGCTACCTGTTTAACCTGTAGCATGTGTGTATTTAGTTAATTGTGTCTTAATGGTACTGCAGCTCTTTCTAAGGGACTCCATAATCCCAGTGAATTATTAAATATCATTAACTGCATTGTCTCCCAGCACCTTGAAGAAAGCATGCTTTCGTTTTTGCCACTGTAGTGCCTTAATGGCACTGAACTTTAAGGATGGGGCTCCAAGACAGTTAGAAGAAGGAACATAGTGGCTGTGGCAGACCTACCGGCACAGCTGTACATCAGGCTAGCATGTCGAGTCACCTTTGCTGAGCTGGAGAGGCACGGGCCTGCAACCAGATGGGTGACCACACATAGAAGTGAAGCTGCAGGTTGGACTTGATGGCCTCATAGGCCCCTTACAACTCTACTGCTGTTCTGTTCTAGTCAGTCTGGCAGGATGCTTCACAAGGTTTGCTGCACTGGGTCCTTGAAAGTGTGTGTATGGGGTGGGGATGCGGTTTGCTGGCCCAGGTGGAACCCTTCCAGGGTGTCACAACTTCTTTTTGTTTTTCCAATGACCTGGTATTAAAAGAAGGTGTGCTTGGCCATTTGGCGCCACAGTGGCCTCTCTGTTGCTGCTTTCTGTGTCTGCTCTTCTTGATACGTTTGCAGAGAGAGTTCTTGATCACCTGTGCAGGAAGGCACTGCTGGGTGGTGCTGGGTTGGTTCACCTGTCCAAGAAAATGCTGTCTCTGGGAACAGCAGTGGGCGGAATCATCCACTGTGACCTGTGGCCTCTTAAATCCTGGCACCAGGCCTTATGAGAAGTCTCTGACTTCTCAGCTGAATACATCCCCTGGCAAAGATATTAGGATTCTTGTCTTTTCCAGACCACTAATTTCCCTGCATGCAATCCCTGTTCACTTGTAGCTGTCAGGTGAGGAATTGCCTGCCGTGCTGCTATAATAGAGTTGGATCACAACCTAAAGCACACAGTTTAAAAAAAAATAGAATACTAGAAATATGCATCGCATTTTGCCACAGAAGCACACACAGGCAAACTTAGTTGATGTTCCATATAGTTACTGGATCATTTATTTTAGTTGCCTGTTTGTACCATTATAGTTAGTATAATGCTGATATGTTACTTGCTGTGCATTGTGCCTTCCAAATGTCTATAAGTACAGTGAAATGGGCACAGCTATGGTTATCGCACGTAATGGCACGAGTGTTTTTTGCATGAGTCCCCCTTTGCTTGTGAACTGAAAAATAATTTTTAAAATGCTCTTACTGTAATGGGAGAATCCCTTTCTCTCTCCCATACATTCGCAAACAGTCACATGTGTGAAATAGGGAAAGAGCGAGACGATCAGAATGAGACGTTTATTTATTTAAAAATTGGAATGCCACAATGCCTCTGGGCAGCTCACAACATGAGATGAAAACACAATAAAAACATAATAAAAATCGTAATTGCTTGTTGGAAGGAGAATTTATTTGCAAGATCCTGGAACCTGTGCCTTTAAATATGCAAAAAGGCACTCCACTGAGCCTTGTCTGGGTCAGTGAGGAACTAACTCTGTCGGGAAGAAAACAGGCAGAGCTTGCCCCCTCAGGTTAGTGGGGTCTCCAAGCATATTCAGCAGCCACTCCTCTGGTGCAAAGTTAAGGGGAATACCAGGATTCACCGCATTTCTGACACTGGTGAACATTTATCAAAGCTCTAACCTCCTGAAATGGATTCACTCACAGAGTCAAGTGTCCAGCTATCCTTGGGTACCGTGTGAGATTTTTCTAGGAATGGAAAATTGTACCCTTGATTGAGCACTTCTAGTGGGCCACTATAACAGTGTAACACACTCAGGCAGATATGCTCATTGAGTGACAGATCTAATTTTCAAATTTTCTATTTTGGAATGTGTCCATTTTTAAGTGAGCACATAATCTTATGACTCTGTCTGGTGTCTTATCTGATCACACACATGGAGAAGGAAAGACTTTAGTGTGATGATTCATCACTATTTTCATTTCTTTGTGGAATATGAGTTATTAATACAATGAGAAGCCACCCAAGAT